ACAAAATTTCAGGTTCGAGAGTGCAGTTATACGTAAGAAAGGTTATAGCAACCTTACAACGCCCATCCAAAGAATGATACCAATTTGACTTCAAATTATCCAAGCCTTAAAATATTCTTATAATTTTACCAAATCATTTAATTATTAGAAACTAATCGTAAATTTGCTCCAATAGTTTAGTAGTCATTTAAGATAATTTTCTCACCTCAAGAATATTCATGAAGACTAATGTCTCACTTTAAAGAACTTCTTCATCAAGTTCATTAATATATTTTTTATTCAAGAAAATAATTAATAAAATCTTTCAATAGTTTGCTAAAATTTAATTTAAGATGCAAATCCTCGAATAGTTTGGTAGGATCAAAACAAAATATTTTATTAATAATAATTTTTATAAAAATTGATTTATGAGATTCCCCAATAGTTTGGTAGAATTCATAAAAAATTTAAATTCATGAAAAATCCTCCAATAGCTTATGGTATTCAAAAATTTATTTTAGAAACATTTTTTGTTATTATTTTTAAATAAATAAAAAATAAAATTCATAATGGCATTTTAAAAAATATATAATAAAATTTTTAATTTAAAGTAATGAGTAAAATAATAAGTAAAGATGAAAATAATAATAATAAGTAAAATAAAAAAAATCTAAAAATCAAATGAAAATCAAATAAAAAAAGTAAAATCAAATCAAATCAAAACAAAAAATAGGATGAAAGAAAAAAAAACAAGGAAAACTTGCGATTGGGTTGAGCTTAAAGTGCGAATCTTCACGTGAGTCATTAGATTTATGCAAAAACTTTAAACTTTAACCAAAAAGTTCATCCTAAACCCAAAAAAATCCAAAAAGATTTCTAGATTCTTGAAAAAAAAAAATCTAAATTTGAAACTCAATAGAATATTAAATCAAACTCAAAAATTAAAATCCAAATTTAAGAAACCCAAAAGCAAATCAAATCAAACTCAGAACAAAACAAAATCATAGAACCTAAAGAAAAAAAAATCTAAGAATTTGCTTGAATGGTCTCTCCCTAAAATTTAAAAAAAAAAAAAAACTAAGATCCCTAGAATTTTTTTCCTTTGTGTGTGGTTTTCGTTTATTTATAGGGATTAAATTCATTTAATTTTGAAAAATAAATCAAATTGATTATGATTTTATTGTGATTTTGTAATATTTGATTAATTAAATGATTTTATTTGATTTTGCAATGATTACATGAATTAAGCCCAAAGATTCAATCATAATCAACTATGAGATCAAATCTCCAATTCCCTGTTTTTTTATTTCCTTTCCTTCTTTTTTGACTTTCTTTTTTAAAACAATAAAATTAAAATTAAACCAAATTAAAATTAAAATTAAAAAATTCATGTTAGGCCCAAAGTTTCACAATCGGGCCCAACCTATGATTGAATGTTCATTTTTTTTATGCCAGAGAAACTCCTGGATAGAATAAAGTGTCTACAAATACAAAAAATAAATTAAAATCAATGTTAGAAAATTTTGTTCTAAATTATTAGAGAAAACAGATGTAAATAATTAATTTGTGATTTCTTTATATGATGTAAACTTTATAACAATGAATAAACTATTCTTTTAGCTAAATGGATAGGTGGAGTATATTTTTGTACAATCACCTAATAAATTTTATGTTATTTATTTCAAGTAGAGTTCGAATAAATGTTAAAAAAAAAAAAAAACATTGTTTGTCTTTCTATTGAAACTTACCACCATGTCCTAGGTTTTTTCTTTTCAATGCTGGGTATAAAAAAATAATAAAATATATATAATGTCTTATCTAAACTTTTAGACCTTGTGGTCCTTGCGTTTTTAATCAATAATATTTGTGCTTTCAAACCTCGCAGCCAAGCGCGCGTTTTCTACTTATACTAGATTTTAGCTTTCGCGATGTCGGGATTGATAAATTTTATCAAAATTTAATTTTAATATATTTATTATTTATTTTTATAGTAATTTTTATTGGAGATTATTTTTAATATATTGTATAGATTTATAGTAATTTAATATATAGTTAATTTTTATTTAATTAGTTTAATATGAAATTTAGTAGGTGTATTATAATAATTTTATAAAATGTTATATGTCAAATTTTTATAAAGCAATGATAAAGGTATTTTTATAATTTTATATATAGTTAATTTTAAAATCTTGTTAAAATTTAATATGTAATTTAATAATACATTATAATAATTTTGCTTAATTATAATAAGATAAGCGTTTCTATAATTATGATAAGAGGAACATTATAATTATTGTAATCAATCATGGTATGAGAACATTTTCGTAATTATAATAAGAAGAACATTATAATAATTTTGAACAGTTATATTAAAAGGGTTAGTTTTTTAATTATGATAGATGATTATTGTAGTAATTATGTATCAGCAAATAATCAATTAATTAGAGAGGCATTATAATAATTTTCATATATTACTTTTAATATATTGTATAGATTTATTTTATTATACTAATTTAATATGTAATTAAGTGTTATGTAATTTTCATGAAATAATGACAAGGATATTTAGTAATATAATATGTAGTTAATTTTATATTATGATAAATTTAAAATATAATTTAATAGGGATATTATAGTAAAATTTAAATAAAATGTCACATGTCATTTCATAATTTTGGTAGGTGAACTATTATAATAAATTTTGGTCAATTATAATAAAAATATATATTTTCATAATTATGATAAGATGAATATTATAATAAATTTAACCAATTAAGATAAGAGAATTATAATAATTTTAGTCAATTATAAGAATATGGGTATTATTGTACTTTTGGACACGTCAAATAATTATCAAATAATTGAAAGACAATATAGTAATTTTTATGGGATTCCTTTTAATTATAGTTGGCAATTAAGGTAAAATGTATATTTTCATAATTATAGTATGAAGGGTATTTTAATAATTTTATTAATAATTTTATTGATTATGGCATGAGGAATATTTTATAATTCTAGTAGGAAATATATTATAATAAATTTAGCCAATATGAGATAGGGTTATTATTATACTTTTAAACATGTGTCGATCTATGACCAAATAATTGAAAGGATAATATAATAATTTTTAAAGGAATTGTTTTAATTATGGGGTATAATATATATATATGAAATTATATTTTTTACGATCTTGAATTATTAAAATTATCTAATATGATATTTAAATTAAAAATATTTAATTAAGTATCTCAGCTTTTAATTTGTGTATCAATCTATCCCATACTCTAACACCATTAATAAAAATTGATGATGTAACCTTCAACTAATAAAAATTTGAACAAGTGCATAAATATTACACAAGCGGATGATACGTGGATACCACATGTACTCGCCTGATTGCCATATTTCATATTTAAAAATAAAAATTAAAAAAAATCAAAACTTAAAAAATAATATTTTAAAAATTTTTTAAAAAATAAAAATATGATTTTTTATAAAATTTAAAATGAAAATTTTAAAAGTCTAGATTGTAAAAAAAATTCTAAAATCTATTTTTATAAATTAAATTTGAAAATTGTTTTCTAAAAATTCAAATTAAAAAAAATCAAGAAAAAAAGATAATCGTGAAAGAAGATGGAAGAAGAAAGGGGAAGGAGGGGTGTGCCAGCATCGATTGATCGGCCTGAAGCGAATAGGGGCTGATTGCCTCCAATTTGGTTGATTGATACTATTATGGTTCAGTGTCGGTCACTTCTCCCCCTCCCTTCCCTGCTCCCCCTCTCTCCCGATTCCCTTCTCTTTCTATTTAAATTTTTTGTTTGTATATTTTCAATTTTTTTTTCAAATTTTTTTTTTTTTGCAAAAATTCTGTTTTTGATTTTTTTTAAATAATTAATTTTTTATATATCTTTTTAAATTTTTAAATTTTTATTTTAATATTTCACGTATGATAGCAAGTGTCATGTGATTTGTCGCGTCCTCCACATGCACACTAACTATACACATGCCAAATTTTTTTGGATTATGACCACCTCGACATTATCTGTACATATGTGCAGTACCAGGTAAGATTACTTGATAGCCAATTAAAAAGTTTGGATATTTGATTGAAAAATTATTTAAGTATTATATTAAATATTTTTTAATATTTCAGATTTTAAAGGAAATTATTCATATATATATATATATATATGTATGTGTAAAAATCTACTTATATATATATATATATAAATCTACTTATACATATATAAAATTAATTTAATTTTACATCAATATATTAAAATATATATTGAAAAGATAATATTATCAAAGATATTATAATGATTCAAAACTTTACATGCATGACTATAATTATAATTTTATTATGAGCTATAAATCCAACAATTAATTCGTAAAAATATTAATCTTATGTTGAAATAATCAATTTTATAAGGGTATGACTCGATCCCTTCTTAATATATCCTACTATAATATAATATATAATATATTGATATTATATTATATAATATAATATATTCTAGCGTTTTGACCTTGTAGAAGACTCCACCGACATAATCCATTATATTTGCCTATAATTTAAAAATAAAATAATATCTAACTAAACCCTTAAATTTTATTTTAAAATATAAATAAATTCTCGATTTCTATTACATAAAATTAAAACTATGAGCTCTTATTTTATTGTAATTAAAATTTGATATTAAATATTCAATTTTTTTAAAACTATTTTATTTGAATGTTTTAATTTATAAAAAATACTTATTTAAATTCACTTAAATAAATTAAATGACAAGTATTTAAGAAAATATTATTTTAAAAAATCTATCAACTAGAAATTATTCATCCAATTTTAAGATTTACCAAGTGTAATTATAATAAAATAAAAATTCAATCTCAATTTCATGTAATAAGAAATCGAACATTTTTTTGCATTTTGAAATAAAGTTTGAAAATTTATTTTAGTAAGCCTTTGAAAATTTTGACCTTAACAAAGTGGTAAAATTGATATCTACATTACCCCAAATAATCACTACCCTACATGTATAGAGCTAGAAAGCATGATTGATCTCACCTTCAGATATACTTGAAAACATTTAAACCTTTAGGTTTCATAACAGGATGAAAGTGAAGGTAGAGAGCTAAGCCACCATAAAAAGAACTATGTACATGGCTTCCGCCCTCTTAAGCTCAGCATTCACTTCTCACTGGTAAGCCAGGGCTGAAGCAAGCAAGCTTTGAGAGTAAATGAAGTCATACAGTTATGTAAGTAAAAGAAAGACGTAACTAATTTTTGGAACAAACATGTCCCAAAATAATTTCAAGTCGCATTGAGATTTGTCTTACAGCAAACAGCATTCCCAGGTATGTTGCAGAATATGAATGTCTCGTACAACCGAGTTTACATCAGGCATGATTGTTTTTAGGTATCTTTCTTCAAAATCAAATGCATTTGACCTTAAAGAATCTTATTTGGAAGGTCACGTAATTACTTAAGCAACTGGGTAGGAACACAATCAAACCCATTCCCACCCATTTTCTTTTGTTTAAATCATATCCTTACCATTTAGACAAAACAGCTTTACCATTTCGGTTAAAAACCGTTTGGAAGAATCAATGGTTGCTGGAGTTCGCACCACCAATAGAAGGCACTGCACCCCTTGTTGCCTGGACGTAGGAGGCATAGTCACTGTAGTGCATAGTGAATAACGTACTTTGATAGCGGGTCAGTTTTATACGGTTCCTGAGTGACTCGCTGATGTGTCCACTCAAGCCTGCCTTACGCATAAGTGAGTCAATTGCCTCCACTTTAGTCCAACCTTAAGCAGAACAGAGATGCAAGTACAATAAGCAAATTTTGCTCAAAAATCTAGGTTAGCGGTGAACAAAGTTACTGTCTGCTCAAGTGATTTAAATTACAGTTAAGTTTTTTGTTACCTCGCATTTATTTCGATAACAACCATAACAAAGATTATTACGATCATTATGATTGTAAATTTTTTTTTTCTAATTTTACAAAGCTCACATTAAAATGTGATAACTATAATTATAATTATAAAAACTCTTATTTTATGATTTTTAAAATATTTATCACATCTCATTTCTTTTATTTATTTAAATAAATTATTCACAATTTTTTTAGATTATAATAAATGTTAATTGATTTTATATTTTTATTACAAATTACTTTTAATTTATTATATAATAAATAACATTTTCAATTTTTATTTAATTAAATGGATAATCCAACACAAAAAATTTTAATAAGAATATAAATACCAAACTAAAAAATATATATTAATAAAATTTAAATATAAAATCATAAATTAATAAATAATATAATCAATATATATATATATTCATTTAACTTTAATTATTTTTCATCTAATTTATAAAAAACATTTACCCTTTAAATTTTCATCAAATCTTTCCCTCTAGAATCTCATAATGTATATCATATTAATTACTTTTTTTTTTTCAATTTTATGCTCTCCTAGCAAAGATATCAATATTATCCGAACTCAATGAGAAACCCGAATTTTCACATTAATAAGGATGGAAATGAATATAAAATTTTAAAGATGAGGGCAAAAATTGATATGATTTTAAATTTTTTATTGGGCACGGATACAGTGATGAGTAGCACAACATCTACCTTGTACTCTTAACCCTATATAAATATTTTTATATACTTAATAAATTAATTTTTTATTTAATAATATAAATTTTATTTTAGATTTATTATAACTAATATATTTGTATTTAAAAAATACATATTTATATAAAAAAAAACTTAAATGTGCAAAACAAAAAAAAAATAAAAACTAAAAAAATAAAATTTATTTTTTACATTTTTAAAAAACTACAAATACAAAGATTATCTATACTCATTAAATACTCACAAGGATGAAGAATAAATTTAAAATAACTGCTAATGAATATGAATACGAAAATAAATATAATATAAAAACCAATTATGGAGATAAGGATAAAAGAATGTTGTACCTACCTCGTACCCTACCTATTGAGATCCTTTTCTCCTAGTCAATTTTATCCTAAAAATTTTCTATTATTAAATTTTCCATTAAATTAGAAAACCTAACTAAATTCCCCTAAATTTCCCACCACCACAAAATCAAAATATACTTTCAATTTTCCTCTACTTATCAGACCAAAGCCTTTGCCTTCTATCTCTCATCCCATAATCCCACCTAAATCACATTTTCACTTTTCATCTACATAAAAATTTTCAATTTTTTCTCCCATCATCCTCTCTCACTCGTTGCATCTAATCCAAGGTTGTTAATATTGTATCGAATAATATTTTTATTTTTTAAAATAATATGGTATATACCAATACTAGTTATTTCGACATATTATTTTAAGTTTTTGATTTAATACAAATATATTTATAAACATGCATGAACTTGTACATTATAATACTATTAATTATATACAAAATAAATATGCAATATGTTCAAAAATCGAATAAATAAATTTAAAAACATAAAAAATAATATTATAAATTTTTCATAATATTTTTAAACATTTAATCTGATCATATGATATTTAAATAAGTATTTTTTATGTAACTATTAAGATAAAAATAAAAAAAATTAACCAAAACTTTATGATTATTAAACTTTATAAAGGAAGCATAATTGCTTTTTTGGAAGAAATTGAAATACTTATAAACTTTGGTTTGAAAAAATATAATATAAAATTATAAACTTTGGTTTGAAAAAAAAAGTATAAAAAATAGTTAAAATAAAATAAAAAACTCAACTTTCAAAAATTATTTTGTCAATTAATTTTATTTTTATTAGGTTAAAAATAGTTAAACAACAAACAATAAGTTAAAAATTACAAAAGATATTTCACATTTACGCACCAACCTAAATATGCTATTCCACCAAAACTCACCAAAACCGGTCAAAACTAACAAAAACAACTAGTATTATTCGATATGAAAAATCATCTTTAGGTGTATTATATTTTGGTATAATCGAAGCATACCAATCAATACGACCGACACTAAAAGGAAATTAACAACAATAATCTAATCCCACCCACCATTTCACATTGTCTCATAGTTCTCTTCTTCTTTGTAATCCACTCTTCTTTGTCTCTCGCACTTTCCTCTATCGTCTCACAATTTACACCCATACAACAAAAATCCCAACAAATTTGCAAAATTTTCAATGACAAAGGTGAGTGTTAAATTATTTGCTTACCTTCAATTATGTGCTTAACCTTGATTGAAGCTAATTTCTGTGAATTAATGTTTAGCAATCTAAGGTTGCTAAATTGATTTTTTGTTTTAGATTTTAACCATAATGAATTTTTTTTGTTTGCTTTTTATATTTTTGGATGGAAAACGAAGTAACAGCTATAATGAATCATTATTGCTATTATTCATCGTTACCACGCTTTTCATGGCTGTGATGCTCCACTATAGTCATGATTCAAATTCTTCACTATTTTTTCTCCAAAAACAGTGGCGGACGATGATGTTACCATGAAATAATGGTTGTTATCCCACTATTCTACCGTTATTTAAAACCGTATTCTTTTCAACTATAAAACTTTCCCATAATTAAAACATTCAATAGAAAATTGTCTATGCACAAAAATCCCCACACAAACTTCATACCATTAAAACTAGAGTTTCCCCAAAAAAAAATGCAAATAAAAGGCAATTGTTCATGTCATTTGACATCTTTTGCAATGAGATAGAAAGTAATAATTAATTTGTTTCATTGAAACTAATGCTTCAATTGCTTTGATTGGGAAGTGACATAGCGCGAAGGCAATAGTAAAGTGAGTAGATGGTAAAAGTAGGTAACAAGTAACCAAGCTAGTATGTGTGACTCATTAAAAGAATTGCTCAATCACCTATTTAGCTTAACAAAATGAGAATAAATAACAAGAAACAAGAAATTTTCTAATTATAATTCAAATTCAAATTTCAACTACATGAAACAAGAAATATATATAAATATATATACAAACACATGTATGTGTAGTGAAGTAATAGCACATGAATACTTGTGTTTTATTTATTTTAAAATAATAATATATTAAATAAAAGTATTTTGAAAGCTTAAAGTTCAGAATATAAACAATTAAAATTTTGTAATATAAATTATTCACCAAAAATACTTTTTAAAAGAAAGTCATTAAATGTAATTAGAAATTTTATTTACACACTAAAGGAATTTATAATATTTATAGTAAAATAATATTTTAATTAGTCATTTGATGCAATTAAAATTTTTATTTACAAATGGTATAAATTTATTAATATTTACAATAAAAATATTTAAAATGGTAATTTAGAAATATAATGAGTAAATATCCATTTTCATGAATCTAAAACTTTTCAACATCTGTACTTTTACATATATCTCCCAAATGAGAAAAGTCAGGGAGAAAGAAAAGCAAAGAAAATTCTCCATATCATATCATTTCATTAGGGTTATAATAAGCAATAAAGTCTACCTTGTTAAGATTCCTAAAATTATTCCTAGATTTCCTATTCTAAATAGCCAGAAATTATAAAGTTGTTCCTTTGACTATTTTGATTTTATTTTCCTTTATTTCCCTTTATTTCCTTTTAATTGTTTTTTCCTTAGATACTTTCCAATAATTAGAGCTTAGGCACCCTGTCTATATATTATACAATTCTCATAAAAATAAGATAAGGAATTTACACAAAAATTCTATGTGGTATCAAAGCCTTACCTTTATATATTTTTTCCTTCTCTATTTTTTTTCCCTTAATTGCCTTATACATGTATTCTTTCTTCTTGCCTTTATTGCAATATGTCCTTTCTCTAAACAGTTAAACCATTGACCTTAAGATGTCAACAATCTACATTACCTCCTTATCTGATATGCCATCTACGACTATAGGTGAACCTACTCTTCTGTTTCTCCTTTTGCTACTTCATTGTCCAATGTGAATGATCAGGAGTTAACTAGTCCAAACAATGAAACTCCATATTATGAATCTATCTTATCATCTTGATGGGACAAATTACCTATAATGGAACTAGATTCTCCGAACCTTCCTCAAGGCACAAGGAAAAACGAATCACTTAATTAGTGATGGTCAAAGCTTTGAAAACCTAAGTTTTAAGATAGTGGATGTAAAAGATTCCATGATTATCTCGTAATTGTGGAACTCTATAAAAACAAAAACTAGTCGAAATGTGATGTTTCTTTTTACTGCAAGAGCCACATAAAGACACTATAACAGACCTATTCTAATAAGAAAGACGTTGCACTAATCTATGAGTTAAAGGTGCAAGTTACTTCCACTAAGCAAGGAAACATGTCATGACTACTAAAATAAAATGATAGGTATATAACTGGAAATTGATCACTAATGCAATATCTTTCTTTTTTGGCTTCTTCATATAAAACTTAAGTCTAGGCAAATCATCTACGCCTTAGACATCCTCATTTCCTTTGTTAAAGTCCATGTTTCCTTTTTTTTTTTTAAATGTTCTTGTTACTAATTTTCATTAGATGTTTGTCAATTTGCAAAACATCGTCATGTTTCTTTTCCAACAAAATCAATAAAGAGCAATAAACCTTTACTTCTAATCCATTTTGATATTTAGGTACCTTCGAAAATTCCTAATGTTAGTGGGGCACGATGGTTTGTCTTTTATTGATGATTATACTCGCACAACTTGATTGTTTCTCATCAAAGAAAAATCAAAGCTTAATACAATTTCTCCTCATTTCCACAAAATGATTTATACACAAGTTGGGAACGAATCAAAAGAATTCAATCTGATAATGCCTGAGATTAATTTAATCAAACTCTTTCTTATTCTAAAAAAAAAAAAAAGGTATCATTCATGAATCATCTTGTGTTGACACACCCCAACAAAATGAGGTTGCTGAGTGAAAAAATCGCCACCTTTTAAAAGTAACACATGCCCTATTATTCCAGTCAAATGTCCCAAAATCTCTTTATGGTGAAGTTGTTCTTACAATTGCTCATCTTATTAATCGACTTGCTTCAAAAGTTTTGGGAAATACGAGCCCTTTGTCCAATCTATCCAAGTAATTTCCTAATTCTACCTCCATTCAAAGCCCTTCCCCAAAAGTTTTTGGTTGCATAACCTACTTACATATTCACAAAACCAACCAATCCAAGTTATAGCCTTGTGCCAAGATATGTGTCTTCATTGGGTACTCTTCCACTCAAAAGGGTTATAAATGTTACAACCCTTCTACCTTTCGAATCTTTGTTTCCATGGATGTTTCATTCCAAAAAAGTGAACCATTCTACAAACCCCTTGCCACTCATCTTTAGGGGGAGAAGTTATTCAAGGAAGATAGGCGTTCAGGTTCTACATTCTTTCTTGAAAGCTTCTCACATCCCTCTTCTGAAACCACGCTAGTTATAATTATTTATGAAGATAAAAGTTAAACCCATGGTAGTTGCTAAAACCATTGAAACCGCCACCAGTCTAACCTCATCAAATGAAATCAAAAGTACAAGTAAAAATTTCAAATTTGCGAAGCCTTGAACCTGCTGCAGCTCTAAAAAACCAACTTCTAAAAGCTCTTGTGAAACAGCTAAAGCAATCTTTAAGAAGAGTCAAGCCCTCACAAGTACCAAAACAGATCCATGAACCTAACTTGAGTACAAGTAATGAAGGCACTTTAAATATAACTCTTTTTTAAGCTAATGATTCTGTTTCATTTGATGATCAACCTATTCTAGAAAGTGCCCTTAGCATTCCCATAGCGTTTAGAAAAAGGATACGAAAGTGCACTCAACACCCTATATCCAACATTATTCCCTCACACCACCTATCCACATGACAAAAAGCTCTCTACACCTTTAACTCATTTGAAGCTACAAAAATAATACAAGCTTTAGGAGACAAAAATTGGACATGCACAAGAAGGCCTTGGAAAAGAATAAGACTTGGGATATTGTCACATGTTCCGAAAACACTCTCTTGGCTGCAAGCGGGTCTATACTATGAAGTTTAAAGTAAATGGAACTCTTGAGAGGTATAAAGCAAGGTTAGCTGCGAAAGGCTATACAAAGAGCTACAGGATAGATTACCAAGAGAATACAATAAGAATTCTTTTATCCGTTGTTCATTTTGAATAGGAACTCCAACAATTTGATGTGAAAAATGCATCCCTCCATTGAGATTTGAAATATGTATACATGAAACCCCCACTAGGATTTGATAAGAGTTTGGTCTTACTAAAGTTTGTAAGTTAAAAAAAGCTCTTACATGGGTTAAAACAATCCCCAAGGGCATGGTTTGAAAGGTTTACCAAAGCAGTGGTGAGATTTGGATATAGACAAAATGATCACACTTTATTTATCAAACATTCAAAGGAAAAGAAAATGACTATGTTATTAGTGTATGTTGACAACATCATTGTTACCATGATTGATGAAGAAAAGAGATTGAAAGCCTAACTAGCCCAAGAATTCAAAATCAGAAGAGTTGGGCAAACTAAAGTACTTTTTTGGGATTTAAGTTACATATTCCAAATAGGGGATATTTTTGTCTTAACCAAAGTATGCACTAGACTTGCTTAAAGAAACAGGCACTTTAGGAAGTAATGCTTCAAGTATTCCTATTGAGCCAAATCACAAGCTAGGTCGAGAAGACAAAGAGGGAGCAATTGATAGAGGCCTCTACCAAAAGCTAGTTAGGATATTAATCTACCTTTCACATACTTGGCCTGACATAGCCTATGTAGTGAGCGTGGTCAATCAGCATATGCATGACCCAAAAGAGGAACATTTACGTGTGGTTCACAAAATTCTACAATATTTGAAAGGTATTACTAGAAGGGGAATTCTATTTCAAAAAGGGAATGAGCTACAAGTTAGGGATGTAAATTATGCAAGATCTCTAACAAATAAGAGATCTATGTCTAGCTATTGCACTTTTATTGCTAAAAATTTAGTTACTTAGAGGAATAAAAAGCAAAGTGTTGTAGCTAGATCGAGTGCTAAAGCAAAATTTCAAGCCATGGCACATGGAATTTGTGAGCTTTTATGGCTTAGGATTATTCTAAAGGACCTAACAGTAGAAGTAGATGGAATAATGAGATTGTACTGTGACAACAAGTTAGCTAGTAGCATAGCTCATAACCTTGTTCAACACGATCATACCAAGCATATTAAGGTTGATAGACATTTTATCAAAGAAAAGCTGGATAGCAGATGCATCATAACTCCTTACATGCTATCAAGAAATCAACTAGCAGATGTTTTGACTAAAGGGTTATCTTTTCAAAAATTCACAAGATAAAAAACAAGCTAGGAATGGAATATATTCACTCACCAAGCTAAGGGGGAGTGTTAAGATTCCAGAAATTATTCTTTGATTTCCTTTTCTAAATAGCTAGAAATTAGGGAGTTGTTCCTTTGATTTGATTTGATTTGATTGTCCTTTATTTCCTTTTAACATACTTTCCTGTGATTAAAGCTTAGGCACCCCTGTCTATCTATTGTACAGTTCTCTTGTAAATAAGATAAGAAAGAATTTACATAGAAATTCTACATACCTTCATGTGCAGGCACCTCAGGTAAATATGTGGCACTTCGCCTTATATTATAGTCATCGGTAAACTCAATAATTATGCCATGCTTTCCAACCTAAAAGAAAAGAAAATGAAAATTAGAAAGTAGGAAGGGCATAAAAATGCAGTCCGGATGTCAAATCATATATTATTGCCATATTCCCTAAAAGATAATACTAGACTCAGTCTTTTACCAAATTCAATTTATATGTCAAAGCATTACCAAATGTAGAAACATAGAATCACCAACATTACATGCTATAGAAAACAAAACAATAATACCCTAGCAAAAGGGAAGGTCATAACCACTATGGATCTTCAAAACTGCATATTATTTGATCAACCAATACATTCAGGCAGCGAAACATGTTAGTAATAATTAATCACAAAGACAAAACAGCCTATATTCCTCACTTAGATGTTAAAAGATCCAAATTGAGATGAACTACATACCTCCCAATCAAGGTAGTTATTAGCTGTTTCATAATCAGTCAAAATAGATACAGTACATTCTAAATAAGGCAGTTCTCTAGCTTGTATAGGAGGAAATCTGCGGTCCTTCAAAGCACTGCAAACATTAGAAATGAGAAGGGAAAACAATAAGACATTAGCAAATGTCACCAGGAGAAAAATAAGAAGCATGCAAAATTGAAAGCAACAAAATGAATTGACTAAGAAGAACTTGTAGTTTGTTTTGCAGTACATAGAGCGCAGACAAACTTAATTTTAAAATGACCAAAACCATTTGGTTCCAAACCAAGCAAAAGCTGCAAAGATTTGTAAATGGCCTTTCTTTAGAGATCTAGATGCATATTTAAATACAACCGGAAGGGTCAAATATCATGTATGAAGAAATCTTAATGGTGGAAAGATTATCAGCGTTCAAGGTTTCAGGGTTTCTTAATTTCTTTAGAGTAATTATACAGAGCAAAATTGTTAATGGCATTCCATTTGCAAATAAATAATACCAATAAAGTGCTATTGACATTCAAACATAAAGCTCAATCACTTTCTCATAAAGTAGCTGCTCTCAAGGCATTTACCCTCTAGTGAACTGTTTTACCATGACAACAAACACTGTTTGAAAATCACACTCAGTTAACTGGAACAAAGGTTGGGCAAAAAATGAGAACCACTAAATCTCACTGCCAGATCTCCATTCACAGCAAGACATGATATCGAAACAATGGAGCCGAATTCTGGTCAAACTATGTTCACTAGCCCTTTGAAACAGTAAAAAGCTCACAATTGTCACTAATGTGTCTTGCATAAATCATTTTGCATTTCAGACTTTTTTTTTTTTACTGCCAGTTCTCTTAGTAATTGTCAGATTGTAAGTAAAGCCACTTATTTTATAACAATTCTTCCGGCTAGAGGTTACAAACAACTCTTCTACCAAGTAAGTTGACTATACTTGATTCTATCCATTTTCATAACTGAAAATATTATTTGTAAGAAATGCATGCTAACAACCTATTCAGGTATAAAATAGGATTAATCAATCCAAAGATATAGCAGATCTTCAATGCCTAATAACTTGGATCGATAATAGCATCGCATTTATTTTTCATCATTTCAGGTCTATCCAAAATGCTTCTCTTTTATAATGCACTTTCCACATATCTGGTTTTTATTAGGTATATCATTCATGATTCATGATTAGGAGAGCAATGAATTTAATTTTATTTTAAAAAAAAGGGATAGAAAAACTGAAAAAAAATGAGAGTTTTAAGAATAAGCTCACTGTAGACATTGCCATAGTAGCTATCTCAGCTACCTGGGGCATGCACAAACACATGCAGAGAGAGAGAGGAGAAAATTTACAACCCAAAGCATATGCTTTTCTACTCTGGTCTTAATACCTTGTCAAAGCATAGTCCCTAAACCCATTAATCAAGCAACGAGCTTCAAGAGTGCCAATACATCCCCGTAAACGAGGCTCCCCACCATTCACAACCTTCTTCCAAGTGACAAACAATGGGCTGAAGACAGAAGACCATTTGTCTCAGATGAAAGCATCATTCTCAAAGCTAATAAGAATACAATGAGAACAAAGAAAAACTAAAAATACAGGAGACATTTTCTACTGACACTGCCACTGTAACAAAAGCCAAAAGTATTAATATCCCAACAACATAAGAAAACTGAAGAAAAGAAATAAAACAAAAAAAAAAGTGCAACACTGCTGAAATTTTCTATTTGATAGTGAAAAGCATCCAGAAATAAATAAAACATTCAGATTCCTTTCTACTAAATCTGTGCCAGAACAGCGGCACAACCACGGCAGAAAGAAAACAGGAAATAAACATTGCTATGAGAACTTTGCAACCAAAATGCAAACAAAGAGCAGTGATGCACCAACAGTCAAGAAGCTAACAACTACACTCACGGATAATTAAACCAACAAAATATTACAGGTTGAAAACAAAGATCTGAGTCAACACCATAGCTATCACACTTTATCACATATTACCGAGTCAAAGCTAGTAAAGGGCTCTAATGAAAGAGCATTAAGCAGTTACAACTTAGTTGAAATTGATTGCAAAATGCGACCTTCCATTCACAAAAGCTTTATCTAAAAAGATATCATTTAAAGGAAGAGTATAACTCTTTTACAAATGATTTAGAGCCACATTGATTTGATTTTAGAATTAACATATGATACTAAAACCTATGTTGCTTGAACTAGGCACACGTATTGTATACATACATACATATTTGGTTGAACTATTAGTTTGATACGAGAATTAGGGATGGTGTTTTTATACATATAGTTAATGTAAAGTCAGCCTATTTTGAATGGGAAATATGAAATTTTATTTGTTGCACATTTGATGACAAATTGGCCAGACAAAACTTCTTATGCAGAATTAGGCCATTTTTATTTGGGTAAACTACAAAAAAATACAGTATAGTTAGAGGCCAAATATATTTTATTTCGAGGCCCACATAGCAAAGAAAGGAAAAAGTTCAAGGCTCAGTTCAAATAAAAAGATTAAACCTTTGCTGGCTTAAGGCCCAAATTCTTCCCTAACATAACATAATGATTCTTTCTTTCTAAATTTAACAGCCAAGATGAAGCCATATTCTTCTTTCTATCCTCTCCATTTACCCTTCCTTTCTTTTTTCTTAACTCATTGAGTTGTCATTTTTCCCTGTTTGAAATCTTATAATTGTTTTCTCACCCTTCTGTCCTTACCCAAGATTGTGACACTGATCCAGAGAGCTCGTACAAGCAGTGGGGTTCTGGTCATGAATGAAGATAAGTCCAAAAGTTTTTAGCCGTGTCAAATATAGATCCAAGAGATTGTCCAGGATTGTGTCATGCTGACACTCATACTTCTCTATATTTGTTGAGTCCAAGCAACAACAACTAAAGCCATCCGCTAGGATTGTAGCTATAAAGTAGATTTCACATTTCCAAACAAAAATATGAATTTCAATCACTATTTAACATTTGATTTTTACTAGTTGACTTGAATGAACACCAATGAGTTGTTTTTTCTTTTGTTAGAAAATTTTATCTAGATAATGTCATTGAACAAAAAGTAAGACAAGTTTTAATGCCAATGTTTTTTAGTGAAAAAAAGGTTAAACTTGTATCACATGTTCTACAAGGAAAATAACCAATTGCTTATTGGAGTGCAGGCTTTATATATGAGGATCAACCTGCGATCACATCACATAAATTGCTGAAGCAACATAAAATCAATGCACTGAACATGACATACTCGATGTGAGTGTGTGTGTGTGTATGTGGATTACTTCTTATGATATATATGCACTAATATAAATTCCACTTAACTACCATTTTGAATGCAACTTATTAATCGAGCTACCAAACAATTATTCATTGACACAAAAGAATTGGCACAGTTGATATAATGATTTCGGATAAAGCTTAAATTGCAAGTGAACAATTCAACTCTAAGTGGCAAATAGTTTCATCTATACCTGAACGACCAATGGTTTTCTGACAAATATAAGTGTGCAACTACAAAAATCAAATTTAGTGGAAGATGAGGTAACCAAGGCTACCAAATGCATTGTTAGGGATCACAGAATGGTAGGGGTACCCACTATAATTGGTATGGTGAAGGAGAGGGTAGTTTTCATTGAAGTTTTTTAGGTTGTTGTACGTAATGAAGCATTCACTCATATGATCCTATAAGCATATATATAAATTATGTAAAATTAACCTAACATGTTAGTTTGAAGAAAACTTAAGAGGTAGTCAAATAAATAATAAAAAATAATAATTTAGCTGACATTTAACTTAATAAAAGTAGTGATTTGCTTTCCAGATTTGAAACCTCTTCTTAAGTTTTGAAATCCATCATTTTCCTCACTGCTTTGATTTGTTTTATTGTGTAGAAATTGTAAAAAAAAGGTAATTGATGTTAAAGACTGTTGGGAGGTTGAAACTGCATTCACGCCTTTCTATGTTTTGGCTCACATATGCTATACAGTCAGGGTCGCAAAATCCAGGACATAGTTGAAGGGGGTGGGGAGTCTATGAAATTAGGTAACTATGGATACATATATTTATTATGATGCAAAATGGTTCATATTATTAATGGAGGTATACATATATATACATACATGTATATATATAAAGAAATATGACCAAATGAGCTCTTCACACCACTTTCCATTTTATGAAATATATGCTATTGAAATCACAAAACATCAAGCCAAAGGGTCGAGTGGCAAGACATAGACAACAAAAAACCATCATGATGAGCTAAATGCAATGGAATGAACAGTCAAAGAACAGGCACTCATAATATAACTTCCAAAATGCAAATAAAGAGACCATGAAAACCATCTGTAGGCAAAAATATCTTGACAACTCGACATGCCACTTAATCAGGGGATTGCTAACTTGTATAAGTTGAAATATTGTTACAAGATCAGAATATAACAACTTGTAACATGCAAAACATCCAAATGTTAAACATCTTTGAACAAAACCAACAAAACACAAGCTCACAAGTCAACAAACATATCACTTAGCACATGAATTTCTCCATTCCATCAGTAAATGCCCGCTTGCAAATGAGATCAATTTTGAAAATAATAAATTAAATGAAATTTTAATACAAAAAATCTTTAGTATTTCATAAGATTCTGTTAACAATAGTATGGTTAAAAAAATAAAATCTTTGGCTTATAGCTGACAAACCTTGATTTTTGTTGTTGACCAAAACATCAGCACACAAAATTTGAAAGATCACGCAAACAACATTGACATAAATTTGATTACTAAACTTCTACCAATAAAAATAATTAAAAAAGACAAGAAAATTGTTGGTGTACCAACAAAATGAAAATTAATGCCAGAAATTTAAAAAAAAAAAAAAAGGTAAAAGACAAGGAAAAAATCATCGGCATCCAACGCATAATTATCAAAGAAAAAGAGGAAATTTTGCAATAACATCAAATATAGGTTCAGCGATGCTTGAAACAACAAATGCATGCATACCCAACATATATACATGTATCTATGTAGAAAGAGAGGAGAGAGTTACTGTTGGCCCTCGTCGAAGGCGGGGGGGGCAGCCTCCTCGCTGTTGTAGTGGGCGACCAAAGTGTCGAAGCAGTAGACCACCATTTCCCTATTTGCCGACACCATTTTCCTAATTCCCACGATAATTTCTCTCCTAACTTTCTTCACCGATCGCCCCCTTCCTCCTTTTATTCTCACAGTCACTGCTTTTTCCCTTAATTTTAAAATATATAAATAAATAAATAAGCAAGCTTTCTTGTTCTTTTATTACCAAAAGAAGAAAGAGAAAGTGGCAGGGATACTTTTATTTTATTTTATTTTATTTTATTTGAATTTTGGTCTTCGAGCTAATTTAAGGGAATAAACTTCGGCTTTTTTTTTTTTTCCTTTTTCTATTTCCTCGGCGTGTTCCACGGTTAGCGTCTCCTCTATGAAATTTAGGATGGGCCCTTCGTGCTTTCATAGAGTTAGAGTTGGGAAACAACGGTTTTACTTTAGTTTCGTGGTTGTAAAGGATAATGTAACAATATGTTGAATATGATAATATATTAAAATAATATAAAATATTTATTTAATTTGTAAAAGTATAATAAAAGCGTTGTAAAAATATGTCGATTTGATTTAAACAGTTTATGCAATCATAAATTATCTATTAATCATAATGTAAAATTTTAAACATAAAAGTAAGATTTTTTTAGATAGTTTATTTCTTTTTTTTTATGTCTCTCTTTTTCTTTTATTGTTTATGTGACTCATTATATATTCCTACACATATAAAACTTATCTTATACTTTTGATGAATATTATTTCTCATCATGAGTGAATGCCATGTTTATCTTAAAAGAGGAAAAGACTAGCCATTCTTGTCTCAAAAACATTTGTTCATCATCTCTTTTTCTTTTATGGCCAAATGCCTTAAGCATGAGGAAGCATAAAAAGAGGTTGGTTTTTACTTGGTTTGCAATTCAAAAACCAATTCTCATGAATTGCCTATGGTAGTTTTTTTTTATAACTACCATATGTAGTTATTATCAATGTGGAATATTTACCACCCATTTTGGGTGACATATTCCAACATCTCTTACTCACACAAAATGGGTGGTAAATTCTTATGATTAAAAGAACATTTTCTCTACTTTTACAAAAGGCATAAGAAAATAAGTCATAAGACCAATATAACTCGAGAGCTTAGTTGCTAATAAGTATTAGGTGTATATGTAGTTTAAAATCACATCTAGTCACTTATACAACTATTAGGTATGTATAATAACTCTCAAGTATAAGTAAAGTAAGCATGTAGCACCTTAAATTCATTCAATCACATTTCAAGTTCCTCAAAATCTATTTTATATCATGTTGAATGATATACTTGTATATTCATAATTATGTTCAATGTCTTAAACATAATTGATCGACCTGTGAATATAACCAAATGTAACACTAAAATGATCATCCCTTCTTTTAGAATCTCTCCATTTCAATTCAACTGCTATCCTAATATGTCTTATTAGATTGAATCAGCTATGACCATTGGCAACAATCCAAGATAATTAACATTGAAATAAAACTTTAAGAAACAATCGAAAGTCCTCAAGGGTACTAATTATGAGATCTTTTGATCTCAAGGGTCTCACAAAATAAAAAGCATAAATCTATTCTTTTATTACCCATATTGGTCAAATTATGCACATGTTAATGAAACACATGCTACGGTGTTACTCTTCTTTTCTCATGAAGCATATGTCTTTATCTTTAGATATTAATACCATACAAGTGATATTTCAAATACTCCCAGTATCTAACTTAAGTGCACAAATGTACTTGATTTCACATAATTAACAAGACTTTCACCTAGTAGCAAGACTTTCACCTGGCATTTAAGATAGTCAAAGTGAACTATTAGATTATTCACTTTTCAGTCACAAATCTTAATATCAAGTAGCCTCATATTAATCCCTTATCAGGCAATTCCATTTCAAGCTTGGGCTCTCGATCTATTGCTTAAAACTAATCTTATCTTTATAGTGCCAAATCATTGAGGAGATTACCTATGTGAGAATACCAATCATCTATCTAACGTACCTTTCAAATCATATCGTATATGTACATATAAATATACATGTGTGTATATTTCACAAACAAAATACTAAACTTTAATGGCATTAATTGCATTCAATATAAGTAAACTCAAATGGGAAAAAATAAATTGTTCACATGAAACATCTTAGCTAATACATCCTTGTCTATACAACTCTAGATATTCTATGTGGCTATAAAACATATCTTTAGGCATGGGCTTAATTAATAGATTTGCAATTATCTCATGTGAAAAATGTACTTGTTGACTTTCTTTTATACAACCCTATCTTTTAGAAAATTATACTTGGTATTTTGTGTTTGGTCTTTAGGATCTACTTTTGAATATGATTGTTGCTTGACTATTGCAATGCACTAACATTGAGTTAGACTCATCTTTTTCAATTCCTAAATCATTCAAAATCTAATACACTAAATAATCTCTTGTATTGTCATTGAAAATACTATAAATTCAACCTTCATTATGGATAGTACTATTCAAATTTCATTCTTACTAATCCATGATATAGCCCAATATTTAGTAAGAAAACATATCTAAAGGTAGATTTTTCTTTCATTTAAATATCATTTTCAATGGCATTTATATAGCTAATTAAATGTAAAAAACTTTCTTGATAGCATAATAAATAATCCAAAGTGCTTTTATGATATGTTAATATCCTTTTCATGTCTTTCCAATGGGATTTACCCAAATTGGATTGATATCTACTTACCATGCTCACAACATAGCAGATACTAGGCTTTGCTCAAATCATAGCATACATAAGGCTTCCAATAGCACTAGAATAAGGAAATTCGTGCCATTTGTTCTTTTACCTTGTGGAGTTCCATTCTTTGGCTCAGGCCTACACCTTTTGTAATAGGAGTATCAATTAACTTACAATCTTGCATATTAAATCATTCAAGAATTTTCTTAATATATTCTTCTTGTGAAAGAGAACAATTTTTGGAAAATGATTTCTCTTGATTCTTAAACCAAGTTTGTAAATTGCTTCATACATATCTTTCATTTCAAATTTGAAGATAAAAATTTTTCACCATAGTGAAATACTTCTTATCCTTTTTAGCCAATAATATGTCATCCACATAAAGTGAAAAGATTACAAGCTCGCCTTTAATTCCTTTGACATACATGTAATGATCTTCATCAATCATGATAAAATTACATAAAATTATCACTTGATGTACCACTACCTGGAAGATTCTTTAAGAGCATAAAATAATCTTAATCATCTATACACTTTTATGCTATTAACCTCTACTAATGAAATCTATAGATAATTTCATATGGACTTTTTTTCCAATTCTCTGCTTAGAAAAGCACTTATCAAATCCATTGGATGTAACTCCAAATCTAAATAGGCTATATTGGCTAGAATTGTATTTTTTGGTAGATCAATCAGTTGTTATACATTGTTTAATCTTAGACTTCATATTCTTCTTCCATTGCTAGACTCCATATTTCTTTTTTCATTGCTTTCATCCACTTTTGTTTTGCTTGAGTTTTGATTCTTATGAAACAAATTCAACAAATTCTTCAGCTTTAATCATGTTCCACACTTGAATGAGATACTGTTGGTTATTGATTAAGAATATGCATTAATTGATTTGCAACTTACCAAATCATTTGCATCTTCAATCTCATAAATAGACATTTTTTAACTCATCTCACCCTTATTTGGAAACTCATTTTCTAAAAAAAAAAATATTCTAAGATTCAAATTCAGTTACACTCTTACTTGATTGTTTACTTATTAGCACATATCTCTTTGGAATGTTTAGAGTTTCTTACAAATATACTCTTTTTGCATTGTGAACCTAACTTGCCATGTTAATGAGTGAACTCAAGAACATAAGTAGTAAAACCTTAAGTTTTCAAGTTACTAAGATTGGGTTTTCTATCAATCCATAATTCATAAGGAGTATTGTAACTTACTTGAAAGATACTCGATTGAATATCAATACTTCACCCCAAAAGTGATTTGTAAACTCACTTGGGCCAATATTGACCTAACCATTTCTACAAGAGTTTTATTTCTTCTTTCTATAACACTATTTTGTTATTGAGTCATTAGAATGGTTAATTGCTTATAGTACCATTTTCATTACATATATGTCTTAACTAATCAGACAAGTATTTACATCCATGATCAGTTCTTAATGCCTTAATATTTTCATCTAATTGATTTTTGCTAAATAACTTTCTAAAGCACTTTAAAGCATTAAACTTATGAAGAATCAAATAGACAAAATTGAAACATGTGTTATCATCAATAAATGTGATGAAATATTGACCTCTACTACGTGCCTTTACATATATTAAGACACAAATTTCAAAATTTATCAATCGTAATGAAACTTCAACTCTAGTTTCTTATAAATGGTTTTCTTGGTAGTTTTCTTACTAGACAATTTACACGTGATAGTTGATTAATCTTATTATATAGAGCCTTGCAATCTCTTGTTTGTTAATCTATCCATTCTTTGTAAACCCATATGGCCAAGTCTTACATGCCAAACATTCACATTAATATTGGCATTACATTGAAAGGAATTATGTATCATTATCAAAGTTAAAGCAGCAAAATTTTTAAAAATTTTAATTTTTAAAGCCAAAATCAATCAATAAGATTATACAAACAACATATATATACAAGTATGCATAGTTTTGGCTAAATGTGTTACCTTGAATGCCAAAAATCTCTTAGTTCAAATTGGTGATTTTCCAAATAAAAGAAACTGCCTAAGTGTTTAGCCTCTAATGGTGATCCACACGAACTCTTGTGAAAGAACTATTTCTAAGGTTTGGTGAACTCAAATCCACACTATATCTAGTAAGTGTTTGCAAGAGCTCTTGTATTTTCTTGAGTGATCTCTAAATGCTTGGTTGGTTATTCTTACAAATAGGGGTGGTTTGATGTTGTTTTTATAGGGGAAACATTTGACTGCATTAGGTTCAATGCTTGGAATACAAATTTTTACAATTAACCCTATGCTAGCCAAATGTACCAACAACAAAACCTCTTTCTCTTGTATTTTTATTTCTTTTATTTTTGGTCATACTAAAATCAAATTAAGTCCAACTTAATTTGTCTCAATTTTAATCTTTCACAATTATCCTATTATGTATGACCCATTAAGTTTTTTAGCATATTGACAATAAACACAAGCATTGTAAGCCTTAGTATTTGGCTATGGATGAAACAAACATTTTAT